TATAAGAAATTTTTGTTTTCATATATATATAATACGATAATTAATTTGGGAAAAAATAAAAATACTAATTACCTATATGAAATGGTGTTTAAGTGATTCTTGAAGTCCTATTAAATGTAATTACACGAACAATAATACTTTAAGAGATGTGGGCGGGGTGACCGAATGGGCTAACACCGCCGTTGCCCGGCAACCTGATAAATAAGACTTTGATAAAAAAAAAAAAATAGTCACGAGTTCGCGTCCCGGTGCCCGGAGGAGTTTTTAAATCCCCGGCCACACTCCCTGGCCCGGGAGAACCTCCGTATAGCCTTAAAGGCGAGGAAAGGGAGAGGACATAAAAAAAAAAAAAAAAAAAAGAGAGATAATTTTTTACCATAAACATGGTTACATTTTACCATATTGGCGGTGAAGAGGCTTTAGTCCTCTCTTCCCCTCTCATAGATCCTCCTGTGCTGTAGGGCAGAAGCGTAAACGAATCCTATGGACCTATTGACATTTTAAATATAGAATCAAGGGGCTTTCGGTCTGAAAAAAATCCAAAATGGTAAAATGTAATCATGTTTTATGGTATAAAATAATCTCTTAAAGTATTATTGGGTAGAAGATAGTCATGAGTGGCGGTCATAAAAGGACTAAAATAGCAAAAAACTATTTTATTTAAAGCAAACGTTTCGACCCGACTTTGGAGGTCTTCTTAAGGGGGTTGGATGCAGAATGGAGTTACGGTTGAAACTGAAACGTTCGCTTTAAATAAAATAGTTTTTTACTAATTTAGTATTTTTATGACCGCCACCCCCGACCATCTTCTTAATCAAGAATACACCACGGTCAACCATCAAGTATCCATTAAAGTATTATTGTTCGTGTAATTACATTTAACAGGACTTCAAGAATCACTTAAACACCATTTCATACAGGTAATTAGTATCTTACTTTTTTTTCCAAAGTAATTATCGTTATATATATGAAAAAAAAGCTTTCGGACTTAAGCCCTCTTTCTCCCCATAATTTAATCCTGGATTCGCTAATGGCCAGATGGATATATCGAATTTACAAAGATATCATACTAATCTGGAAGCTGTTTTAGGTTATGAATGAATGAATGACACATGATGATAATGATGATGTAAATTTTTTTTTGTCTATAAAATGTATTTGCGCCTGTCAAATTATTGTAGACAAGCAGCAAATGTGATGGCGATACAGGAAATAATGACATGATGGAAAATTAAAATTAAATTTTTCATTTAGGGCCAAGTCATATCTTCGATTTTCTTAGTAACACACTTGAAATTAGCTGCGAGCTATCTGATGTCAATAATAATAGTTAAAATTTCTAGACGAGGGGATAGGATCATAGGAAGGAAGGGAAAGGAAATGGGTTGGCAGAGGCTGGTTATTGCCTGTGTAAATGTCCTCCCTCCCTCCCCTCCCCCATCCTGGAAGGGTCCTTCAAACCCCTTCTTTTTGTTTTTTTAGGTCGTCCTAAAACCACCCTCATAATATCCATTCTCCTTTCTCAGTGACACCCAAGGATAACCAAAATAATTCAACAAACGAAATACTGATCCGACTAGTGACTATGAATAATAATGTTATTTATTTAAAGTGTTTATTTTCCATTTTTTTTTAATAAATTAAGAATGATGCAATATTATCTCAAATGTATCAGTAGGTCTAATTCTTATAATCACATTTATTATTTTATACTAAGGGTTAGTATAACCTTTATAATCTATCCTTCGCAGATGACCAGGTCATCATTGCATAGGATGCAGAAGATGCTGGATATATTCTAAGAAAATTAAATGAAGAATACCAGTAGTGGGGACTAGTTATTAATGCAGAGAAAACGAAACACATGAAGTTCAATAGTGATGATATAGAACCGAATCCAGGAGGGGTTCTAAAAAGAATTAAACATTTGAAATATCTTGGTTTCATAATTGAAATAGATGGTGCATGTGATGTGGAAATAAAAAGAAAAATTTCAGATGGAAAAAGACCATATCAATGCTCAACTCGATATTATGGAACCGGAACATTATCCCCAAAACAAGAAAAAAACATCTACAATAGTATAGTACTGAGCATTATGACATATAGGTCAGAAACTTGGACCATAAAAAGCAACCTCAGGAAGAAACTCTAGCCACCGAAATCGACTACTGGAGACGAGCGGCGGGAATATCCAGAATGGATAAAGAGCGGAATACGACCATCAGAGAAAAGGTTGAGGCTAAAAGAACCATTTTGGAAAAGATTGAAAAAAACCGCCTGAAGTGGTATAGACAGTTGAAAAGCCTGAAGGAATACTACTCAAAGAAGTCCACTCATAGAAAATTAGGGAAAGAAGCAGACGAGGAAGACCTGGGATATCGAAGTGGAGGATCCATGATGGGTCATGGTCTACGCGAAGAATGAACCTTAGATAGGAAATTATGGAAAGAAGGTATCCAGGCAATTTAAGTCGCAATTTAAGTCAAGGAAATAATACTAAAGGTTATGTAATAAAAAATAAAATAAAAGAAATATCAATATATATATATATATATATATATATATATATATATATATATATATATATATGTACCTTTTTTTTAAATGGAAGAGGACGAAGAAAAAAAAATAATATCAAATAATATATACTAATAATGTCTACCTAAATAATATCAAACGTTAATTTGAAAATTAGAACATACAAATTTGTAAAAGAACATTATACAAGTTAAAGAATGGTAATATCATTAGTTAGGAATTCTACGGGCGTAACAATCCTGCAATTTATGGCCCTAAAACTGTTATCCTACCTACCTCATTCCAAAGATATTTTAGTTGACAGAAATAAAAGATGACAAATTTCAAAATATTATTTCAAAATTCTTTCTATAAAATGGTCATGGAATATAAAAAAATGTTATGTTTAAGGAAAATGAATAAATAAATACACACAAACACACACACTCGCACACACACACACACACATACACAAATATATATATATATATATATATATATACATATATAAAATAAACAATTTTTGGTTTATTATTTTCAATAATGAAACATTGTGATCGACCAAAAAATTCAAAATTTTTTAGCGTGGAATTCGAAAAACGAATAAAAATTTTTTTGTCCGTCCGCCGTACGCCATCCACCGTCCGCGCATTTTCTCCGAAACTACTGGACTGATTTTTTTCAAATTTTGATATAAAATCAGAGGTCACCCGAGGATGATCCTCCTTCATCGATATTACTCTCCGCCTTTAACTTTCAAAATGGCGGCCGAAAAACCTGCGTTGCTATAGACTGTAGCTCCTAAACGAATGTACAGATTTCAATGAAACTTCGCTAAAGTCATTTTCTCGACGCCCTTTCAATTTATCTATATAACATACTTCAACGAAAAGAAGCTGGAAAAAAAGTTACGAGGGATGGTAAATTTAAATTCCGAATAACTCGAAAAGTTTTTACTTTTTTGTTGATATTGTACATTTTTTTAAAAAAATGTTTACGGTTTATTAAAAAAAAGAAAAAAAAACAATTAAGAGCAAAGATATGGTCTCCGGTTTTTTTAATGTGTTCTACTCCAAATGTTATATCCTTGGTTTGGTTTTTAAATCTTAAATGTGTTACTGAACTAATGCTATTTTTTTTAGCATATTACTAATGATTAAAGAAAAACAGTTTAGTCCAATAATTGGAATCACCTTTTGTTTTTTTTTTCTTTGTAACTGGGAAGGTAACGTTACTTTAGATGTATAATCGTTTGGAGATAATAAACCATTGTGAAATAATTTGCAACGTTTTTCTTTTAGAATGTGTATCTATAAATACTTTTGCACACAGATAAGCGAGTCTAGTAAAGGGAGTTTAATAAAATAAAAGAAACCGAATAAATATCAAGTCTCACGTTACCTCTGATCGTTCAGATCAAACGTAGTAGTAGAGGTTTTCACTATATGGATTTTACTTTAAATAAACAGAGCAACAGTCAAGAAATCAAAATTTTTCATTCATGCCCATAACGATAGTGGATATTTTTGACTCTATATATATTCTTTACACCTTCCTCCATGACTAAGCTTACACGGACCCACAGAATAAATCTCGATCTTCCGACTCTTTGTAGATAGGCAAACTGCAGGATAACACGTCCTTCTTGCCTTCGCTGTAGTACATAAGGGCGTTAGCATGAGGAAACAAACGGAGACAAGAGATTACTAAACTGTAGTACTGGGGCACCAATAATTTTGGTATTAACATTCTCGTTACTTTTAATTTTTATTTAAACTTATTTAATAACAATCCTACATAATCAAGACTTTTCGTGTTTATTTTTACTTAGCTAATTATTAATAAAACCAAGTAACATCCCCAGGATTAGGATTGGATCCACAAAAACGTGTTTTTCAAGAGAAAGTCCGATAAGAAACTACATAAATTTAAAGGTGAAATAAATGCACCATAGCATCATAACGCAATACCTACCCGATACGGAGCGCAGTGAATTGTTCTTCGTGACAGAACAGAGTTGTTGCGAATCCATTTAAAAGTATAACAGGAAATCGAAACTCGTACGTGTTCGTGACAGATTAAATCAGATTAATACTGTAGCTGGATATTTGCTTAAACAAACTTCAATTAAATACAAAACGAACACCAATCAGTAACGATTTGGAACAGTAACTTTGTAATACTGTTCAGGCAGACAGTTAATTAAATTCTACTAACTCATTGACCACAACCGTACAAAATAGTGGGTGAAACATATAATGTTGAAATCTACTTAAGCTAGCATGAACACATATTTAATCAAAACATTAAAAAACGATATAGTTAGCACGTATATTATTAATAAATAAATTATTTAACGGCTGAATCGATTTAAAACAGTTTTTTAAATGTTTTATTTATGTTTCTTTCATAGATAATATTACAATTTATTCCATCACTAAAAAATTAAAAATCTACCTAAATTTGTTTATAAACACCAGTTAGCAATGGTAGTTGAAGAACATGTCCCGGAAAAGAAAAAGAAGATGCCCTAGGAGACGATGGCTGGATGACCTAAGAGGGTCTGGTAAGGATTGGAATAACTGGATGGAAACAGCAAGCACTTGGTCGGGAAGCATGGAACCGAATTGTAGCAGCCAAAGTTCACCTCGGACTGTATTGCCGGCGAAGTAAGTATGTAATAATAGCTAAAATTTGTTTCAATACGCCGAATATATCAATTATTAATAAAACAAAGATATAATATTATATAAAGAAATATTAATCAAGTTCCGCAACGAAAACAAGTACCAAGTCACCATCATTTTAAAATATGAATTTAAAAATCTCATTTCTTGAATTCGTTACTTTTTCCATAATGATTCATTATAGAAGTTTAATCTAGTGCTTCCGCTAACGCATGCGCAAAAGCATTTTCTTAGATATGCTAATATTTCAGAAACGGCCAGTTTGATTTGGCACAAAATTCGAAGAAAGGTAAGATTGGTAAAAAAAGAGATGAAGTACCTATTTTATTGAACTCCATTCACTGTTTTCTCTTAAATATACGCAAACGTGTTACTCTTAATACATCTATATCACTAAAACAGCACGTTCGATTTGGCTGAAATTTGGAGGGGAATTAATGATTGGTAAACAGATGATCAAGTATGATTCAATTTCATCAAATTCCATCCACCACTTTAAAAAAAAATAAATTCAATTTAGAATCAGCAACAGTATTATTTTTTACAACCTTATAACAAACGGCTTTGAAAACGGCTCGTTCAATTTTATCCAAGGTTGAGGAAATTTGAAGAATAATTTAGAAACTGACTAGTACCAATTTCATTGCATTCCATTCAACAAGTTAAATTAAATAACTGTTAAGAATATAATGGATGTGAAATGAAGAAGCCATTGATCATACGGAAAGGGAGTTTAAGTTGATAACATTATTTTATGAGGTTATAAAATTGTAGACTATATTGAAATAGTTATTTAAACTGCATTGCGTGGAATACATATTACTGGCTTAACACTTACTTACGTTACTAGTATTTCATCTGATTTTCAATAAATTAAAATTAATTTTTGCTCTGAGTTTGTAAAATAAAAGGTTTATTTGTCATTGGATTGTTCCATTTGAAGTTTAACCAGCTCGTCGTAGTCTCGATTTCCAGTTTAAACTTCAAATTTTTTAAAACTTCAGTCATTTTTTTATATTCCGTCTTAAATTAGTTTTGTTATTACTGATGAAAATATTCGTCTCAATAAAACAGAACAAACGAAACATTGAATTTTTCCAATGAATTTTTCCCATCCATTATAGGAGTGAAAACACACATATTAAGTATATATGCATGTCCAGCAACTACAGAGATATATATATTTTTTTTATCACGAATAGCATAATAAGCAATTTGCAAGTGCATAACTCATTCGTATTTTTGTATTAATGAACAAAACCCGCTGATATCAAACCCCCGAATGATGAGGGATTACTATATTTCTGCAAACGGTCTCTCTCGGATATTTTATTCTCAAATTACAGACCTTGAAATATAGATAATTGCTTAGTCGATGAAAATAGAGACAAAGCTACACTGACCTTACTTAACAAACTTTTTTGTTCTGGCAAATAAATTGTTTTTAAATCTTCTCTTGAACCTCGAAACTTCAAAACTTCTCCTTGTTTGTAGAAGTTATTACAAAAACGAATACATGGAAAAATAAGAAAAGAGAACGTTCAATATCAAATGAAATTCCGTTACTTTACGATGGATAATAATTTACACAGCATATATTTATGATGTAAAGTATCAACAATTTTGTTTTTTTAATTTCTTTATTGAGTATTATAACAATCTGTCTCTTGGACATTGGTTATAGTGAGGTAGGAAGACATTCACACTATATGTACAAAAAAAAAAAAAAAAAAAAAGAACAAAATAATAATCAAAAGTATATACAATAGATAATAAAATAAAATAACCTAAAAAATAAGATAATTAAAACTAATAAAAAAAAAACAACACATGCATACCAATATACAATCAGGCGAGGGAACTCCAGGAGAACCCTGCGCTACTCTCCCAACCGCGTCACTGGTTCTAAAGCCAGCAGAGATTGGTCGAGAGGACTTTAGCCACATACACTCATGTCTTGAGTGAAGAATCTGGCCATTGACAATTTTAATTACTTTTATTAATTTAACAAAAGCATTTTTGGGAGTACATACGAATAAAAGTGTACAATTCACTTCTTCCTTAATCTTGTGAAAATTAGATATATTCGCATTTCTTGGCTACATGATGGCTACAAAATAATTTGGACCATCATTTACATCAAATGTTCATATAATAATGTATTGTATAACTAAATTAGAATCATCAATTCTGCTCATGCCCTAACTTGTAAAAATATTATAGGTATCATATTAATAATAATATCATAATATTATTAAATATAAAGAATATACTATATAAAGAAATGAATAGAGGAAGTATTGAGTACCTGATCAGTATATTGATGACTCGGATTGCATACTAATCTTACCTAAAAGAAAAAAAAATAATCATTCTATAGAAAATGATGACATATCATCGTACATTACAGCAATGCATCAAATAAAAGAAAATAATTTTCAAGTAAGTTTTATGGTGATTGATGCTAAAAGAGTTTAAAATTACGTTTTCTGTCAAACAATGAAGGTAAATTCCGAAGACATACTTGTTTGAAGGAGTTGGAGACTTAATTTAAAAATCAAAATCCTATCTTCCTCTTTGAACATTTTTACACCATTTTATCTCAAAATCTCACAAGCGAATGATTAAGGATGAGGGGTCGCCGATTTCAATGAAACTTTTTTTGGTGACACTAGGTCGAAACACATTAGACCTATGTCTGGGGATTTTTCCCAATGCGTCCTACAAGTTGAGAAAACAAATATTCTATATAATTTTCAACAAAATTTATGTTTTTATAATCAACCGATTACAATCGATTTCTTTTTTTTTTCTTTTTTTTTGTGCGGAATGAGAAAAAATATTAATCATGGAATTAAATGATTATTTAATTTGGTCTTAATTACCAAAAACCTAAAAGCGTTTCAAATATAGTAGGTCAAGTAATTTTTTTATATATTGTAAGTGAGAAACAAAGCTGATATTCCTCAGAAAACCCTGAAGCACGATTTTTTATAGGAATCGAAAAGTTAAAATTTTCTGCACGAAATTTTTGCCAAGTCTGAGAACCTTCGAAATTTTATCGACAATAGCCAAAATCGTGATAGCTTCACTATGTCTCCACTGATTAACACTTATACTGATAGAAAATTATTAAGTACTTACGGCTGTATAGGCTACAAGAACTAGTACAAACTCGACCTCCGTAAAGAAATTATAAACAAAGACATAAAATAAATATGTGAAGTTTTTCTAAATTTCTAATATAAAACGGAATGAACTCCAAAATCTATTGATGTGGTTTGGGAAAGTATTAAATCAGCTTTCTAACAGTAGTACTGAGGTTATATTTGAAGAATATCTATAGTAGTTATGAATTGTTTAGTTAATATCCGGAAAAATAATACTGCAAGAAAATCATGTATTGAAGTTTTTGTTCACGATAAAAAATTGTGTTTAAGAGTTTTAAATAATACTAAAACGAATTTAACTTTCTTTTTCATAAAACAAATTACTAGAACTACTTCACTGGAAGCGCCTTATGGTTTTCGGATAATTAAGATCCTTTATAAATGATTTAATACTTTAGTTAAATTTTGTTTGCACAAAAAAATAAATCGATTGATATATAATAACCTAAAACTCCGTGAAAAAAAAAAGTTATAAATGACAACATAAATATTGTTTAAACTTATATAAAGTTATTCTCTTCAGTTTCTAGGGAATATTGACAAGAACCCTAGAACTAGAACCGGACATGGGTCTAATATTTTTCGACCTAGTATCACCAAGAAAAAGGTTCATTGAAATCGATGACCGCGCGTCAGTAACCTCTCTCCCCTCTTCAGTTAAAGATATGGAATAGATTGCTAATATACTTTATATGTATATTTTATGAGTGTATTTTTCGATACATCTTGAAAATAAATAATAGATGTAATACTTATAAAAGAATAACCTATTACGCAAGTTTTATTTTCAAGTTGAAGTTCTTCAGAACCTGCTGAAGATGGTTCGTGCTAGGCAGGAGTAACACGGATGGTAAGATTACAGGGACAATCAATAGATAGCATCCATATCCTGACCTAGATTGAAGGAATGAGCACTCGGACTTAAGAGCTCATGGTTGATGGTTATTATTTAACACCTTTACAGTTCGTATAGATTCACAGAATGGAGTCATGAATAAGCTTAATTACATAGCGCTGAAAAATTATGTTTTATATTTATAATTGATATGCTAGTGACAGGACTACTTAATAAAATACTACACTAAATATCATATAATACTATTCTAATCGCCATCAAACTTTTTATGTTATCCTCCATAATTATATTTTAACTATTTACATCTATCAGTACAATATAAATATATATTATATCAGACTTACAAAATATTCTAATATTTATTTATTTTTTATGATAGTTTTTGTCGAGAATTAATAAAACAAATTAATGAACACTAGATTGTTTTTTTTTTTTGTTTTTTTTTTCTTTTTTTTTTTTTTTTTCTTACCCTCCAAAAAGTTTATTGAAACAATTACATATATAGTATACAATAATACAATATAAACATGTAATAAATTCCTTCCACTGCCCGAGGGCATTTTAAGGATTGGGGATAGCTAAAGGTTACATATGTGGCAGAAGGCCTTGTGACTTTGACATTGAACGGGGAAGGACCGTTCTGCTAATGTTTTATTATTTACAATATATACAAATTAATGAGTTTGGACCGCAGAGACCAGACCACATCCTTCGGCGAGTATGTCCACCAAAGGGAGTTTACCTTGCCACCTCCCAGGTCTGGGTGGTGGTGAGATCTCATTGAACAGTGGGTTTGCACAGGCCTTCAGCCCATCAAAAAATTTGATGTGCCTCCGGCCTATGAACTCAGGTACCGAGGGGAGCTGGAGCTCCTCGCGTATTGTTTGATTCTTAGCCCTTTGTAGGGTGGTGCCACGGACAATTCGCCGAAGGATAGAGTTCTGGAAGCCCTGTAG